TCCGTTCCCGTCGATGGGGAGATTCTGATGTTGCATGTCTTGAGGCTTTGTTGTGTTGGACTCAGCAGTAATTTCGCTTCGCAGGATCTTTTCATTGATGAGCTTGAGATGGAGAATTTTGGTAAGCAGATGAGTTGGTTACTTAGTTGCGTACATTCGTCGAGTTGTTCTTTCTCTATTTGGGTATACCGTTGACGATCTTCACTGATGATGAGGTATGGTTTCTTAGGTTTGATCCAGGCTACCATTATGCCGTTGGTTGTTTGCTGCGATTTGATGCAGGGTCGGACATGGTATATTTGCAGTCTCTGTCTGCTTAGAAGTGGTACCGCAATTACGATAAGGAATTTGCCTTTTGTGTGTCCAACGTGAATTGTACTGATTTTTGACAGAGCAGGATAGTCTGTCTTTCCTTTCGGGATAGGAAATTCGAACTCTGGGTGATGACGTCGAATCTTTTCAGCTGCTTGGTCCAGTTGTTCAGGAGTCAGGAACGTTTGGGTTATTCTCCCATGTTTTGCTGCGTCTATGGCTTCTGTGATTTTGCGGGTAGAATCGAGGTAGATTTTTGTTGCCTGAACAAATTCATTCCCGATGTGTTGGAATTTTAGTGCCATTTCCAAGCGACGGATGGAAAATGCGTGGTCATTTTGCTCTTGTTCTAGGTGGTTTGTAGCATTTCTAAGGATTTGTATGTTTCTTCTTGATGCCTCCATGTGTTGCGCCATGTTGTCCAGCTCCGATCTGATGAGATAAGTGGCATTGTTGACCAAATGCGTGATTTGATTCTGACCACTGTACAGCTTGTCTATCTCTTTGTTGATATGTTTGTAATCATTGTAATCCATTGTTCCGAAAAGACTTCGTGAGATTGTTCCTACGAATTTTAAAAGTGGTGACCTTCTGCCTCTGCTAACCTCTCCTTCTTCGTCCTGGGCTTTGAATACTTCGGTCAGGTGTTGATTCAGCATCTCACTTTCCCGTTTTAGTGCCATGAACTGGTTATGTCTGAGGTGTTGCTGACAATCCTCGATTTCGAATAGTGTCCGGCAGTGGTTCCAAACTGATACATATTGCGGTTGTGTCTCATTGTTCAGCTTATAGTGTATGGTAAGATAGTCGAGGGTGACAATTATCTGCCACTCTTTTTCTACTAGCTTCACTTGCCCGATATCCTCGTAGAAGAGCCCTGGGTGATTTGGAATGTATTCGATATTGAAAGGTCTTCCATCCTCCGGTTGGTTGGCGATATCTTGTACCAGCAGAAGTATCCAAACTCCACAGATTAGCGACTTCGCCCCCATCTCGAGATACAGGTGTAACTTGTGCACTATTGTTCTTACTGTTGGTCCTCCTTTTATATTTTTTTTGGTTTAATTTTTTTTCTTCTCTGTTCAATGGGAATAGATAAAGTCAATGTAGTGAGTCCCATTAATCAGGGGCTAATCTGGCTTTATTGGGATGTCTCTTGATTATCTCACCATTTTCATCTTCTAAGAACAGAGTGCCATTTTCCGAAATACTAACAATTTCATATGAGGTTTTACTGTAACTGTCAAATTTGCCTTTATGAGGCTCTTTGATTATATCCACAAACTGACCTACTTTGAATTCTACTGGTCTCGCATGTTGATCGAAATATTCTTTTGATTTTAGTTTCGCGCTTATCAAATTATCTGCGGCAATGAGTCGAATTTTATCTAGGTTGGTGACCAATTCTGCGATGTATTCGTCATAGGTCTCGAGTTCTTGTTCGTTTGGGAATTCGCTAGGGACTCGCGCCTTTGAGCCAAAAATCAGTTCGTGGGGTGTAAAACCTGTTGCCGCGTGTTTATTAGTATTATAATTGAACATGGCAAAGGGAAGATAGAGATCCCAGTCTTTCTTTTTGTCCATTAATGTGCGCAGATAATCTGCCAGTGCTTGGTGACTACGTTCGAGGGAGCCGTTCGTTTGTGGTCTGTAACCTGAGGTTGTTATTTGTTTGACTTTAAAGATCTCTGAAACTTGTTTAAACAATTTGCTAAGAAAACTTGTTCCCCTGTCAGATAATAGGACTTTGGGTGAACCGTGAACTGCATATAGAGTAGTGGCTAGAGCCCAAGCAATAGTTTTCGTTCGCAAGTCCGGAATCGCAGCTGCAAGACAATATTTAGTTAGGTTGTCCTGAATAGTTAGAATATGTAGGTTACCGCGATCTGTAGGGGTTAATGCCCCCACTGTATCAATGGCGACTCTCTCGAATGGAACTAATGGTGTCGATGTTATCACCATTGGTTGGACCGTCTTCAACCTGTTAACTTTCATTTCTCGACAAATCTTACATCTTTTAAGATATTCAGTGACCTCTTGCCTAATTCCAGGCCAATAAAATCGTTCCTTGATCCTCCAGCAGGTCTTGACTACGCCTTTGTGTCCACCTGTCAGACTATCATGAGCTTCTCTGATTATCCCTGCTCTAAATTTCTCGTCTGGGACTTGGACTTTACCCTCGCACATAGTTATTGTGATGTGTTCCCCATCAAAAATCTCCTCGAACAACGCGTTCATGCCTACTGCATCTAATCCATCACCTGCTTTTGCCATACGGAAAGCTTTTTGCATGTAATGTATTAAGGCTTCCCTTAGGTGTCGTAAACCGAGCATAATATCTTCCACGTGAACTTTCTGGAAATGACGGCTTTTTACTATTACTGTAAACGTGTGGTATTTTCCGGTCGGTGTTACGAACACATCTCCTATTTCAGGTTGATATTTCTGCATCATCTCTAAATCTATTAATCTTGTCGCTAGTAATAGTTTTCCTATCGACGTCGTAATTTCTAGATCCGCGAAGAGGAAGTGTACTATGTTTCCCCGTTTATATGTGACAGCGTCCCGTGAGTATTCAAAGAGTTCACGCTTCGGGTCAAGAACTTCGGATAATGACAAGGATTGTGGGATCGCAATCCCCCCCTGACTCCCCCCTGGTGTGGCCGCGGATATTTTGACTTTGGGTAGAGGAATGATTGTTGAATTGCTTGTTTGGCTGGTGAGTGGAATAGGTTCAGGCTCTGGGGACTTATTTTCTGGAACTAGAGGTAATGAGAATTGTATGGCCCTACTTTTTATTGGAATGCCATCGAGTCGATCCAGGTTATTTAGGTGTGGAGTGGACTTAGCGATGGGTTCAGGTTGAGTTAGTGGTGTGGGTGCAAATGAGACTCGTTTTCCTCTGGTAGTTTCTGGTGTTTTTTCTGCGTTGCGTGGCGGAAAGATTGCGGATGGAAAGGGTTGTTTCTTTCGTAACTCCGAAAACTCTCTGTATAGCTGCCTCGCCCTCTCGTCATCTTGTTCGTCTTCTTCATTCTCTGTTGCTTCTTCTGCCACTAAGGTTTCGTTGCCATACGACTCATTAAGTTCATTGAACTTTTGGAATGACTGCTGCAGACTCTCCATGAAGTCGGGCGGTAGTCCCTCTGTGTCACTAGATTCCTTTCCTTGAATCTCCACTTGATCTTTGCATTCACCCGTCTGTGGGTCACTGAGAGGTGGATCCTCATCTGCCTCATCCTCGGAGTCAGTGTCGGTTCTAACATTTTGTTTGAGTGGGATGATGGCTGGGTTCTCAGGTGGCTCGGGTGTGGTCTCAAATACTTCATCTTCGAGTTCCTCTGACAGTTCTACGTTTTCGCTGTCTAGTGTTTGGCTAGAGGCTTCCTTGCTGAACACCAGTCGAGTCGATGTCCTTCTTGCAGTGGTTTGCTCGTTTGCCTTCTCGGCTATTGGTAGTTTCGGTGTCCGGGCGGATACCGTTCTCTTTCTGTCATCCGTACCAACGATTGAGTGCTGGAGCGGGCGTGATGTGGGTGCAACTCTATTCGTCGGATTCGAAGCTGTGCGGGATCTGGTAATGATACCCGGCCTCGTCTGCGTGAGATCAGTTGGTTCGGTTTTCTCGGATGATGTCTTATTTTTAGAACCAGGAGGCCGTCCTCGCCGTTTCGGTGGCTCGGCTTGATGCCTTGATTTTCCTGGTTGCATCTGTTGCATTACCTTTTTATACATCGTTGTTGGAAATTTATCGTAGGATCTTGCCTCTTCATCAGTTTCCGGTGGATTTACAGGAAGTGAGGCTAGGACTTTCGCGATTTGCTTAGTTTTCGCCGTGCGATGATGTGGGATGAAATCAAAGCCAGATATTTTCGTTTTGAACGATGCTTTTCGTGTAGTTTGGTCCTGGGTATCTTGTAACCAGACGACTGCTGCTGATTCTGCGTAGAGGTGGAATTGTTGACCATACAGATATGGTCTGAACTGGTTCAAAGCATAGACTACTGCCAAACACTCTCTTTCGTCGGGAGTATATCTGGTTTCTGCATCATTCAGTTGTCTGGATGCGTATGCTACTGGACCCTCAACTCCTTGGTCATCTACTTGGGTGAGAATTGCCCCGATGCCCACTTTAGTCGAGTTGATGGTAACTAAGAAAGGTCGATCGTCGAGCGGATGTCTGAGGAAGGGCTCTTGTGACAGGAAAATTTGTAGTTCTTCGAATGCAAGCCGCTCTTTCTCTCCCCATTTCCAGTCCACTGTGCTTTTGGTTAGCTGGAATAGTGGTTTGGCCCTCGGTGCATACCATTCTTTGAATTGATGGAAGTAATTGCACATACCCAAGAAGCTTCGTAGGTCCTGCTTCGTCTGTGGCGTGTCAATGTGTGTGATCGACCTGACCTTATTTGGATCGGGCCGTATTCCATCTTTGTTGATGACAAAGCCCAGGAAGACGACCTCATTCCTCATTAAGTGACATTTTTCTACCTGTAGAGTGGCTCCAAATTTCGCCACTCGCTCAAGAACTTGCCTCAGTAGGTCCTGGTGAGTCTCGATATCTCTGGTGTGAATGATTATGTCATCTAGGTACACTTGAACACCATTTCCAACCAAGTTACCCAGCATCTGGTGCATGCAGCGTTGGAATATGGGACCTGCGTTCCTCAACCCGAATGGCATGTGAGTGCACTCATAATGCCCGTTATGAGTGGAGAATGCGGTCTTTTCTTGATCTTCTGGTAGCATGGGAATCTGATGAAATCCACTGGCTAGGTCTAGGGTCGAGAATAGACAGGAGCCTCCAAATTTCGAGATCACCGTGCGAATGTGGGGTAACGGAAATTTGTCAGCTATTGTTTTCTTATTAAGGCCTCTGAAGTCTATAACCATCCTCCATCCTTTTTTTCCCTTGGCATCCGGTTTTTTTGGTACCATCCACAATGGTGAATTGTAGGGTGACACTGAAGGTCGAATCTTGCCGGTGTCCAGCAGCTTGTTGACTTGGTGAGTGACTTCATCCTGAAGATTGCCTGGAAATCGGTATTGTTTGACATTTACCGGGCTTCCGTCAACTGTGCGAATAGGGCATACCATTCCTTTCATTTCGCCACTGGGTTCACCTGGTAGTGAGAAAGCCTGAGGATATTCGTGGACTAGGGCACTGATGAGCTGTTTCTTATCGCTCTCTTCTAGTCCTTCGCTGAGGATTTGAGCTATTTTTGCTTCTCTGGTACTGGCTGAGAATTGAGCAACGTTCAGAGGAATTTCTAGATCTGGTTCCCCGAAGATGGACTCTGGAAATCCCAGATCTGAATTACCGAGCTCAAATGCGGTCATCGCTGTCGCGAGGGGTTCGATTGTCTGAGGTTGTATCGCGACGTCCATGTCTACGTCGTTTTCGTTGGTAATAGTGGCCCAGAAGACTCCTTCCTCATCAACGTCCACTTCAGACTCGATGATAGTCAGCCCTGCTTCCACTGCTAGTTTTGGGAGATATCCTTTGCATCTAGTGCAAATCTTGGCCCGGATGGATATCCTCATTTCACAGCGCGGCGGGATTGAGAATGACTTACCTGGTCTTAAATCTTGGTAGAAGATTATTGGGTTCGTGAGGAAATTCTTCAGGACAAGGGACCCTAAAGGAAACGAAATTTCTGCGCTTTGTTTACGCAAGAATTGATTGCCTATTATCCCTACGTAATTTGTTTCTCTTAGATTCTCTACTACATTGAATTCCGTTGGAATTCCCTGAATTTCTAAAATAACAATTCCTAGGATAGGTTGGATGCCCCCCGCGACTCCGAAGGTGTATCGAGGTGGACATCTATCGATAATCGTATTCCCGTTTAGACCTGACCGTGATATCAAGTTCAGACATGCCCCAGTGTCCAATAGGAATAGTTGTTGATTGTCTTTTAATTTCTCAGATGTGAGCATTAGCCTAGGGCATTTGCCTGTGGCGCAGATTGAAAATTCATTCAGGGTCGGTGGTTCTTTAAATTCGAAATGAAACAATTTATCTTTTAGTAGGAGGGATGACGTATAATACGAGATGAATGCTGATTGCTGAATTAAAAATTGTAAACCAAGAATTCCATTGTATCCACCCGGTGGCATGGGCGTGACATAAAATTTGAATTTGATACCGCGGATATTCAATTCTACACTTCCATAGGTGGACAGGATTTTGTCACCAATTCCCACTATGTGAATTTTGTCCTTTAGGTTCACCCAAGTATCGGGATTCAGCTGAGATGCCCAAATCAAATTTACTTCACCTCCAGTGTCAATTAAAACTTGCGTTTGTTTTGACTTAAATGCTGGGTGTTTCATGGTTACTACGGGGCACGCCTTCGAGGGTTTGTCTTCCTTCGCCATCTCGCTAATTTTCTTATCTAAAAAAGTTGTTTCCACGTCTGATTCTGATGGAGGTCGCGGACACGAGCCGTTGCGATCTCTCGGCTCGCTCCTGATTGCTGGGAGCGAGCCCCCTCCCCGTTTAAATGCCCTGATCGTGGGTCTCGTGAGTTTGACCTGTCTCTCTTGTGATCGTTCTCTGGACCTTCCGCGATCGCGTCGCTCGTCCGTCCGCTGAGGATTTTCCCTGTTAGGATGTGGGTTAGTCGACTGCGATTGGTCTTCCCCATTTCCATAGCCGCACTTGTCACAATTACATTTGTGAAGTGGCTTTTCCTCCGCTTTACCTGACATAGCTTGCCTCACCGCTGCTAGTATTGGAAATGCGATTTTCTTCTCGAGATCTGTATAATCACTAACCTGTTTAGGTCGGTCATGTTCATAGTCCCTGTGTCTTCCCTGTGACCCATCTCGATCGCGACGTCTGTCATAATAATCACGACTTCGGTCTCGACGATAATTGCCGCCTTCATATCGCGAGCGATTCCTATCAAAATGATCATTGTATCTATTTTCGCGACGATCCTCCCAGTGATCTCTATGGTAATCGTCCCGGTCTCTGTAACTCGATCAAGAATTTCCCATACTCATCCCTGAGATACCTGATACTAAACGATCCTCTTCAACGAGAGGCTTGATTGCGTCGAAAGCTTCTTTTAGGGTTTTGCAATTCTTATTTCTAATTTCAGAGCGATAATCTGGAGGAATTTCACGTTCGAATTTGCGCAGCGCTAGATGTTCGATTACCTTCACGAGGGTTACATGTTCGCCTGGGAAAGAGTCCTTAAGGGAGGACCTGGCGCTTTTCAAGACTCGCTGTAATCTCAAGTTGAAATCATCGGCCTCTTCATTACGCCTAAGTTTCATATTGGAAATTTCATTTTCATAGTAAGCTTGACTAAACCTTTTTCGATATTTACTACCCAAAATTTTTAATATGTCTGTTGCAGCTTCGATTTGTAACTCGCTAAGATGGTCTCGTGCAGGATACTTGATTTTATCTACAATTGCATATATTAAATCAGGGTTTCTGTCATCTACACGCTTCAGACACATCTTAACAGCGGTTTCGAGGTCTTCAAAGTCAGTTCCTGAGTCATCTCTACCGTCAAACCTCGGGATATTATTGAAAAGATCCCTAATCCGAAAATATTCAACGAACTCGGGTCCTATGGTCATATTTTGGGTATCGTTACCATTTCTTGTATTGTCAGGCATTTTGTGGATTTAATCAATTCAGTTTAAATAAATTTTAATTTGTTTTGTAAAGGAAGAAGTGAATTTAATTTCTTATAAAAACGGAAGTACTCAACTATTTTATATTCACAGGAGAAGGTATCCCACTTCTGACACCAATTTTATTGTTGGATACGGAAAATTGAGAGGATATTTATTTTAATATACGACCAATTTTCTCTGACCGGGCAATAAAATAATTAATTTATTTAGGATAGGATCCTTACCTTTGAACTGCTAGGCACATCTGTTGCATATGAGTTGAGGTATATTTTAATTACTTCAAGAACAGTAATGAGATTTAGTAAAATGAGAGTTTATTATTGAGTTTTAATCAATCAAAAGGAAATCTAATTTAATTCCCATTTAATTACAATAGCATAAAACAACCAATTTAATTATAAGAGATGAGAGAAAGAGGAATCCCGCACGACAGATTAACGTGATATTTAGGGTACTCACTCTTCAGCTGTTAAACTCGATACACTCGAACACTTGTCTTTCATTTTCCGACAAAATGGGAACAAAGTATGAAGGGTTTGTTTTAAATTCTCCTGCTATTGATGTTCGCAAATTTTAATTATTGAAAATTTGTTATGGGATCTACCACTACGAAGGTCTGCGTAATTGTGATCAATTATCCCAGTACTCGAACCACCAAGATAAACGCCGGGCAGAATGATTTTAACTGATTCCGGAAACAGGTATCTAGTGATCACGAGGAGTTCGTCCCTTTGACGTTCCTTGTTTCGAAGCTAGGACAAGACTGATTTTTAAAAATATCTTTTGTCAAGGCTTGGCAAATGTTTGAGTCGAGTTGAACGTCCGAATTCACGTGATGCTTAACTTGCATTGTTTCGACATCAATTTCACCTGACTTAGGATATTCCGCGAATGAAGCCGTGTTTGACGTTGCGAAATCGTCAAGTTCATTGCCTTGATTTTGCTAGAACATTCGACTGAATGTGTCTTATTTCATATGATAATATGGAAATATTTAATTTATCAATTTACTTTCAAACACAGCAGATTTTTTTTTAATAATTAAAATTTATACCAGAATTTAGCCCCCAATTTTTGTAATTAAATAAATTAATTATTTGGACCGAGTGAATCGTTTGCAGGTGGTTTGTAGGTCAGTGATAGGTGAAAATTAGCGTTTGATCGATAATAATTGATTTTTACTGATTTTGTTTGAAGAATTGGAATTTTCACCGGAAGTAAGCCCCCAATTTTTTGTAATTCAATACAGTAATTATTTGGATCCCCGGAATCGCTTGTAGGTGGTTTGCAGGTCAATGATAGCTGAAAATTAGCGTTTGATCGATAATACTTGATTTGTAATGATTTTTTTTACATAATTAAATATTCAACTGGAAGTTCGTCCCCAACTTCTTGTAATTTCAATGACAGGCAGTCAAGTGCCTAATCAAATGATGCGGAATCGTTTGTAGGTGAATAATACATGATCTCTACTCCACCGCAATCGATTGATTCCACATTAGTTGATGAAAATCGTTTTGGAGTAATTGGGTCACATCAGGACGGTGGGGGAGGAGTCGCCATGTTGAATCTAACGGCGAATGAACCGATCATCTGTCTGTCCATATAGTTGGAAAATGGAGACGTTCTCTGCCCCAAAACCCCCTTTATTGAGGAATTTACTAGTTGAAGAATTGTTGTTGAGCAAATGAAATCAACCTGTCAGTGATATTAAATTTTATCACATATTCATGTGTATAGATCTACTCCGAGTGGAAATACTCTGAAGTACTCGCATAAATGAAACTTATTATATGATTTCTCTATTAACTTATTAGTTTATACTTAGTTTATAGTGATATGTGGAATTTTTACTGCTTCTAACATGATTTTTTGAAAATATTGCGAAAATGTGAAGGGTTTTTGCAAAAAAAAAGTCTAAAGAAGGTTCACCGCATTTACTTGACATTTGTATGATAGAAATTAGCTAATTAACATTTAGTATAGTTCTTATCATAATAATATTATGCTGTTATTTCGAATATGGTTAAAATATTCTGCTATCAATTATCTAAGCAATATTAATTTTCTTGCTAATAAATATATGTTAATTGATGATATTTTTTTCTTTAAAGTTGTTGTATTTAGCTGAATTGGGGTGACAATACTGAGATAAAATGGCAAGAACTTCAAGCGAAATATTGGTGAAAAGTTTTCGTTATGTCCATAGAAAAGTTGTCCGGAAAAAACAGGTGAATGACTATGGCTTTATGCTGAAATTAACACAATATTCCATAAACATGACTTTTCATTCTGTGATTTCAATTTGTTCCATCTAACATTTCATCATTATTCTTGATAATTGCGCTCTAATTTCCTTCAAATTCACATGATTCCATAATAATTTCATGCTAATTTCTCCTCATTCTCTAAAGATTTGTTCGATTTTTATTACAAAACTTCCTGAATTTTTTCACATGAATTATTTTCAAAGGTGTCTCACATTTCAATTAACAAATATACTTTTCATCAAGGCATGTAACAGAAATGAAATTTTGGAAACATTTTGGAGTATTCAGGGATTTTATAAATGTTAAAAATTTTGAGAATTTTGATAAATTAAAAATTAGGAAAATTATCAAAGCTATCGCAAGTTTGAAAATTGGAAAGGCCTTTCAGAAAATGTTTAAAAAGCACTACTATCTACTGCCTTTTTCGTAATAGAAAAAGGTTATCAGCTAAATTTTAAACGACCGAATAAGAAATTTCAATTCAATATTTTGTTTTGTTCAAGTGGCTAATGCAATAATCGGAAACTGCGCAGGTCCTCCCGCGATGCTGGCGTTTTTTTGCAAATTCTACGATTCCATATCCTATCGGTTATTCATTAAGCAGAAAAATTTCCCAAATTTTCAACATTACCACCAAAGAACTATCCCAATCCAAAGTTTTCAAGGACTACGGGAATTACGGACAGTTTACTATCATCCGGTTAGTTCCAAAGTGGCTAATTTATCTCTTTCTCTGTAGATAAAAAAGCAAAGTCACGCGTTTATTTTCTCAATTGTGATTGTTATTGACAACAATAATAGAATAATAATTATACTAATAATAGCATATCACAGTTTTTATTATTATTACTGTCGTTATTCATGCTATTATCATTATTATTGCTATTACTGATTCATTCTGTTTGAATACTCGATTATGGTGTAAAAATAACAGTAACGATCATAATAATAATAATACCAGTAATATTAGTGACAATAACTGTATAGATCTGTAGCAATAACGTGAAATAACAAGAATCCATTTGTTTGAACATGAATGAATTGATGTCAATGAAACTTTTCCATCAAGCTGATTTTATTTGTTTATTTAACCTGCTTTGTCACTCCTCACGAGTGGTCTTCGCGCTAGGTCCTTCAGCTATAAACTTCATTGTATTTACGTAAATATTTCTTTTTGTACAGAATGGAGACTATTCTTTGTTCTGAGGGATTTGTTACGTTGACCCTTGTTTAGACGGCATAAATACATGACCAGGGCCAGCGTTTTCACCCCAGGTACTCCAGCGCCATGTACCAGCAAGTGCGACGTAACAATAACACCGAACTTTCATTTGTATATTCAGTGCCAGGTAGTTAGCACCACATAATTGAAAATTCATTAGTTTTTTTATTCAGGTCAATAGTAGGACCTTTGTACATCATTGTAATACCATTAAAAAAATTTGTAGACCCTTCATTATTTGTAAATTAATTAAACAAAATAATGAGCGGAAGTTAGCACCCCACCCCACCAATTTCCATTTGTCGACCCGAACAGTATTGATCAATAGAAAGCCAATCGTTTGTAGATAATAAATTGCTTGGTATCATCCTTCTACATCTGATTGTTCACTAGATATTAATTAAATTAAAAACTGGCCTATACTGTTTGCGTCGGCGCATGCGCAGACACACGACTGTCACACAGTATGGTGTTTTCGTCATCAGCT